TTAAGTACTATGAAAAATGTATGTAAAGAGGAAAAGGATAGTTAAGTATCTTTTAAAAGGATAATAAAAGCAAAATAAATATGGGTTCTCATGTATATCATTGCTTAGATTTATAATGAAGTATGTATTTCAAAAATTGGGTCAACTTAAAGAAAATTATTTAATATCTATTATTAAAATTTGGTATTCAGCTAAGAGGAAAGGCATTTAGGTCATTTATGAATGACTGATATTTGATACATACTGAGATGCTAAGTCTACTTGAGGACAAGGGTGATAATTTTTATATTGGTATTCTTGCTTATTTAGGTACCTAGTAAACGCTCAGTAAAACTTTGTTGAAATTAATAATGTTCATTGTTTTAAATTATTCTTGCTCTTCTATTTGATTGACTATCTTGAGATATAGTCCATTATAATTTTGTTCTGAAGCTTGAAATTATCTTCCAAGGCCATTTTTTATTGTCTTTATCTACATTAAAATTTTACATTTAATTATAGTTCAAATTTGGACCATCACTAGTGATCTCTTTCTCCTAGTTTGTCTCAGGTATGTTTCTAAGCCCTGGATAAGTATCCAGTAGGAGAAAAGACATTTGTAACACTACTTTACTATCAGAGTTTGTGATCTACCATCTTGTCTTTTTTTTTTAAACTACCTCTTATCTTTAATACCCCTTTGGCAACTGCTGTGTTGGAAAGGGATTTCACAAATTTGAATGAGGAGGGCAACAAATACCAAATTGTGGTTTTATTTGTTTGTTTTAATTTATTCAAGGTCATGAATGTCTTGAAGATAGAATAGTATACTTGCTTTTAAAGATAGCACAATTCTTCTTATTATTATTATTTTGCTTTTCTCTCTACTGTTCTTTTCTTTTGCTATTGACTATGCCTTTGTCATTTAAGAGATAAATCACCCAAAGAGAGGACCCAGTTATTCTTTGAGTGGATAGGTCAAGAGCAAACCAGAAGAGAATCTCCATCTCTACCCAGTGGACCCTCGTTTCAGTACCATTACTTTCTCTATCTCTGGATGGTATGTCTGAGATGCTGTCTCTACCCTAGAAACCAAGGACTTATCTTAAATGAGCGCCTCTCCCGTCTCTGCTGTGAATCCCGTGAATCTGTAAGAGTCCATGCTCTTTGATGCAGTTTGCTGCTCTTGGATTTGTACAAAATTTATTTGTTAGTTGGCAAATGGGACACAGCTGGCTTCTGATTTAGAGAGTGCCTTAAATTAGTTACCGCCTACCTTAACTTGATGATTTAAATGGAAAGTGCTACTTCTCCAACAGAGCAGACAGACATGATATAAGAACCATTTCTGACATGAGTATATTGCCTACTCAATTGTGATGGCAACTGGTGTCTCTGAAGGAAAAAAAAATAATAAATAAAACACAGGTTTTTCAATTCTCACAAGTGGTAAACTGTCTTTGCATTATTTAAGAAAAGCTTTAAATGTTCAGTGAATGTGCTTAGGCTAATGACAGTTGATGCCAAGAAGATAGCAATAATCCAATGAAATAGAATAGCGTTTTGGAAAGTGGCAATTTGTGTAGAAATTGCAGAAAGCATCAACGCATGCTGGGACTTTACATATAAGTGAGCTATAGCTTGGGTTGAGGAGTTATTTATTTGGTCTTTCATTTGTAAATAAGACACTGTTCCTTTCCTTCCAAGGAGTAGCTAGGCCAGTTGTTAATAAAAGAATACTGGTATCCTTTGTTCATAGTGGCAAAACTGCCAGCAGCAACCGAGGATCCTGATCTTATAAGTCTTGCTTTTTGGAGGAACCTCAGTAAGTCATTTTGGAAGACAGCATTCTATAGTTGAAGATGACTAGATCTGCAGTCAAAATACTTGGATAGAGTCCTGGCTGTACTATTAACTATCATTAATTTAGCTTTCCTCATCAAGTTCCCACTAAGGCTTCTATGATCTGGCCCAGGGTACCTCTCCAGTCTTGTTTGATAGTCTTTACTCCTCTTTGCTCCATTTCGGCCCCTGTGCCATTTCTTGTACATGTCAAGAAATGTTCTTGCTGCCAGGCCTTCTTTACTTACTGTTCTCTCTGTCTGGGATGATTTCCCCCCAGATACAAGCTGACATTTATTGAGCAGATCTGGTATGTTCCAAGGTGATATAAATGCTTTGCATGTTAGTCTTGGTGAATTCTCATGGTAACGGTATGAAGTGTGTAGTGACATCGGACGGATGAGGAAAGGAGGCAGAGTGATCTGGCAGAGGCAGAATTGGAACGAAGGCAGTTTGGGTGGGAGCCAAGGCTCTCACAAGAAGTGCTCTCATAATACCCAATACCCAGGGTGTGGTTCCCAGTCTTCCTTTAACCCCCCAGCTCTTTTTTGGTGAGCATTTCCTGACTATCCTATTGAAAGTGGAATCCCTGTGACTCTGTTTCTCTTTACTTAGCTTTATGTTTCTGAACAGTACTACATATAACCTGATTTATATGGCCTGTTTACTTGCCTATCTCCTTCACTAGAATACATATTCTATGAGGGATGGACATTGTTCTGATCTGTGTTATCACTCTAGCCCCTGCATCTGGGAATGTACTAAAATATAGTGAGAGAAGGATATGAGTTGGGTTGGAATTCTTATCATTTGTAAGATATCTTATTCTTTAAAATTTGCAGAGCACCCATTTTGTGCCAGATTCCATGACAGTTTTTGGAAATATGAAGGAGAATGAGAATGATGGTACCTCCTACTTTCCTGCTTTTCTTGATGCTTTTAGGGCATCATAGAAGAAACGGAAATGCTATTAACACGTAGTTGCCCAGGATAAGCAATCTGTTAGGGCAAATATAAGGTGCAGCAGGGAAGTGAGGGTTCGGGGAAAGCTCCTCCGAGCGAGGGGTGATATCCATACTGAGAGCTGAAGGATGGGCTGAATGGGGATGCAAGACCACTCTGGGGCAGAGCAGATGACAGAAGGCCCTGAGAGAGCATATTCCAGTTTAAAAGCATTTCACTGTGACTCAGGTAATAGACTGTGAGGGGCAGAGTTTACTGTCTGAGTCTGGAGGATGATGTTGGGTTTTCCAGTGTCTTAAAAACTATTCTAAGGAGTCAGGACTTTATTGTCTGAGCAATGAGATGTCACTGAATGATTTTTAAAACAATATAGTTTTGATTTAGTATCTGATTCAGTTTACCAGCTTCAGCCAGATAAATTGGCAGCATTTCCACTTTCTGGATGGGACAAGTGAGGCCCAGAAGAACACATTTCAATGTTGGTGGAGTTGATTTAATTCTCTTGATGACAGTGATGTCAGGGCTTCTAACTCATACCTTCCCACCCTCTCTCCTTCCTTCTTTCTGGTTGTTGTTCTTGTCAAAAGTCAAGCATAAAACTATTTACCCACCATCGTTATCTTTCTCCAAGGAACAACCATGCACTTACACAGCTTCCAATAATCGGACCCCTAGGAGAAGCCAGTGACTTCAGGGGTGGCAGGGCTGGAATGTGGATGGACACCATATTGTACACTGGGCTGGAAATCTCTGTTCTTCTTCACTAGGAAGCTGGATTTGTACCAGGAACCTCTTATCTGAAAAGGCAACTCTGGGCTGGGGAGAACAGAGCTGGTTTGACAAAGTGGAGAGGTGCTCAGTATTGGTCTACCCACACTTTGGGCATGAGTGAGCACTCACAGCAAAACACGGCTGGCATGTCTAATTTTAGCCTTGACTGCCTTGAAAAGGGACCCTTAAAGGAAATATATTTTCTCTGAAACAATTTGTACCATAGTGTAATAGCTTATAGACATGTCAGAATATTACTTACTATTGGTGGGGAAAAACTCTGCCAAGTAATTATGATTATTTTTTGTGACGATATCAATAAAGTGATTAAAGCATCCATGAATCAAAATAATCATAAAGAGGTAGACAGCTAGAGAACCCCTGATTTTATTTGTAAAGACACCCGTAAAACTCATGGGATTCCTCCTTTGCTGTTTACAAAATGGATATAAGGATAAGAATGATCATTTCTGCTATGGGAAGTTGGTCACTGTGATCTGATGATGCATGGCTTGCTTGCCAATAGTAGTCCCGGAGTAGACTCTCGAATTTCTTCAATACTTAGCATCCTCTGTGTCTTCCGAGAAGTGTAAGGTTAGTTTCTGAACCAGGTCTTGGATTCATCTGGCTTTCGTATTTGAACAGGTTTTGAAAGCATCCGGGACACACTTTTTCCATTTTAACCAGCAAGGGTTGTCCCTCTGCTTTTATTTTTGTCTCTCGCTTCCTTCCTCTCTTCGTCCTCTCTTCCCTCCCGTGGTCTTCTATGTTTTGTTTAGCAGTGTGGCTTACCTTGCAACTTGGCACGAAAAAAAAAGAAGGCAGCTCTTGTGGTGGGGTAGATGGAGGGAAGGATAAGAAATAATCCACCGCCCGCATTTGAGTTGCCTGGGTTCAGTTCCAGCGGCAGCAGCTTTGCTGCAAAAATTGCTTTGCTATTCGAGATAGCCAGCAGAGGGAATCGGAACTTTGCTTGCAGCAGGGGTTGAAGCAGGCTTTTTTTTTTTTTTTTTTTTTCTTGGAGGAAATACTGCAGCCTTCTGGACTGCGTACGCTGCTCCCTGGAGAGGCTCTCTCGGTTCCACCCACCGGCTGGAAGGAGGGGAAGTGAATGAAAGGACAGGACAAGCCCCGAACACCATGTCACTCTGGGAGGGAGACAGCAGCAACTAAGCTGTGCAAGGTTTTTTTTTTTTCCTTTCTTTTTCTTTTCCCCTTTCTTTTTCTTTCTTTTTTTTTTTCCCTGTTTCTTCTTCCTTTCTCTTTCTTTCTTCTTCTTTTTTTCTTTTTCTTTAAGGTGGGGAAAGAGACAAACAGGAGACAGGAAGCTGATCTGCAAGGATTCGGAGTTGTGCTAAAAGGACTTTGATTTTTTTTTTTTTTTCTCTCTCTCTCTCTTTACAAACGCTGGCAATTGACATCACTCCAGACAGCCTGGTAGAGAACAAACTGCCTCATCCCAAGTGGACCCTAGCAGCTGGGGGAAGAAAAGCACGATCTGGGAGGCTGGTTTTTTTTTTTTTTTTTTCCCCTACCGATACCCCTCCTTTTTTCTTTTTTCTTTCTTTCTTTTTTTTTTTTTGGTGTGTTTCTTTTTTAAATTCTTGCCGTGTTGGAACTAGTGAGTGGTGGAAGACGAGGGATCTCTGAAGCCTCATCAGTCATCGGGACTGTCAGGAATAGTGGTTTAAGAGGAAGCTCGGCCTGGGGCACTATACCCTGTCATCCAGTTCCCTGCCTCGGAGATAAAGATTCCAGCTACATGGGCAAACGCCTGGATCAGCCACAAATGTACCCCCAGTACACTTACTACTATCCTCACTATCTCCAAACCAAGGTATGGCTCGACCCACAGTCTGGCAAGCAGTGTGGTATCCTTCTGCACTGGGGATGGGAAACAGACAGGCATGTGAATTACTATTTACCTCCCCTTCCCCATCACCTCTTCCTGGTTCTTTTGAAATTAGTAACATACCAATGGAGTTAATGAGGCAGAGGAGACTCTAAGAAGAAAGCAAGCCCTGGGATGGTGGTTTTCTCTTTTCGGAGAGATAATAGTTTCGCTCGTGTCCCTTTGTTGTTATTTGGCAACATAAAAATGTTCCTGATATCCGTAGTAAAGTGCTTTGCAGATGGACAGGGTCGTTAGACAGGAGATTGTAACAGTGATGATCAGGCACAAGAATACAATTTCAGGGGCTTTTCTGGTGAGCTGTTCTTTGTTTGCGGCTCTACAAGGTTTTTTCCCCACTGGATAGGACACACCAGGGTGGGGGCAACTCAAACTTTTAATCGCTGAGTATTGGATGAAAGAAGGGTGTGGGAAGGTATAGTCCAGCTAACTAAAGTCCCTTAGAGTTTGTTTGGGTGTGTTTTTGTGTTTTTTTTCTTTTTTATTTGCCTTACATATTTGATTTTATATTGAGGACAATTGAAATGCTAGAGACTGCATTTTAGAGCTTTTACAGTGATGTTCTTTACTTTTAGAAGCTCTGTTTTTCTGTGCTGGCTGCCATCCGGAGGCCTGGGTCTTGAAACAGGATGAAATGTAACTGATGATAATTGGACGTGAATTGGTTAAATACTTGAGTCTTTTTGGTTAAATACTTGAGTCTTTCTGTGTGTGCTCAAATGATCACTACAGGGCCAGTGGCAAGCCCACGCAACTAAGCAGTGGGCAGTGCCAACCATGAACTTTATCCCGCAGTTCAGACATGAAAGACTCTCAGGTGTGAAATCACTGCTCCAATTTGTCCATTACATTGGACCTGATTCAGGGGGGTGGGAGGGTGGGGATGTTGGTAGAGTTACCACTTTGAACGAATGGATTGTATTTCGCATGGATTTTATTTCTTTACAGATGATATTATTTTGTATCACATTAGCCAGACTCCACTGTCTTCTTAATAAATAAATATGCCCAGAGTGAACAAGGCGTGCCTGAGTGATCTGTGCTGTCACCAGGACTCGTTGATGTGATTAGTGTTTGGTAATTCATGCTGTAGTTAGCTCTTACTTATTCTGTCTCATCAAACAATGCCTATTTGTAAACCAGACCAAGCAGCAGACTTTCAGAATTATATTTAAAATTGTTGCTTTTTTTCCTTTCTTTTTCAATCGCTCTATGACTCGCCCTGCCCCTCCAAGGTCGACTCCTGCGTTGCTTTTTGCCTTTGTGAGCATTTAGTTTGTGCGGCTGCTGCTTAAGTAGACCAGCCTTCCTGTTCCAGTGCCTTGAGTTTTAACTCTTTGGGGGATTGGGTCGAGAGTGCTGCCTGCCTTCGTCAAGGAAATGGCAAAGCAAGGACAAGTTAAAAAGAGGAAATTTATAGTCACTTCTCATCCCCCAAAGAAACAAAAACAAGCCCAAGGGTTCCATGAAAAATATCAGACATTCCATCCCTTTTACTCATTTGGCTAAATTTTTCCAAATGTTTCAAAATTCACGCTTTCTTTTTGGTTCTTGTTTTTTACTATGAAGTATATTCAGAGAGGAAACTTTAGATTAAAATGAATGGAATAATGGATTAATTGCTTTCCTGCTTGAGATTTCTTTTAACTTATTACTAGCAGGAAATAATGTCGTGCACATTATATTAAGGACAGGATGCTGGATGAGCTACACTGATGGGAAGTGTGCGTGTGTGTGTGTGTATGAGAGAGAGAGAGAGAGAGAGAGAGTTTGGGGTAAAGAGAGAAAGTGGAGTGGTGAGGGAAAAGAGGAGAGCCTGAAAAATATAGAGGGAATTTAAAAAAAAATCTGTTTTGGGGTCCTGTGTAGTTTAGTGTTGTGTAGACAGGCGGCATCTGGATCTTGTTACTTTCAAGCTAGTCAAAGCCATCAACTTCTGGAACATTTTTAAAGAAGCTAGATCCATTAGGTGACCTAAGCTGATATTCGGGTAATCAGATCAGGGTGGTAGGGAATATAAGATCAGCTACTTTGGCTATTGTGGTAGTTCATATTGATTATTATGTTGTAAAATTTCGGACAGTGCTGTGACGTTGTCGAATACTGTTACAGTAGTTACGAAATGACAGACATTAATAACATTCCTGGAAGCTGAAGATGTGAAAACGTGCCCTGGTTTGAAACTTGGGCACACAGGGAATGGGAAGAAGAAGGGTCAATCATACTTTAAAATGTGGGGACTTTCTGGCAGCATGAATACTCTGTAAGAAAGCACTATCATGACCCAGGATGGCATGAAAACAGCTAGGTTATTTCAGTATCATGTTTTTGCCCCTTTTATACTTATATCTTAAAATATAATCTATACTATTTTTTGAAGGCAATACATGCTGCTCATGTTTATTTGGTAAGCCTTGGTGGAATTCATAAAATTTACTGTCCTTCTAGCCTTGGCTTATAGTTATAGTCCATTTTTAAACTCATAGCTATTTAAAATGATGCTGATATATAAAGAATACTTATGGTTGATAAAAATAGAGTTCTGTGGTTGACAATAAAATATTCTGGGGACATCATAACTTAAGCTGTCCTGCAAATTCAGGTGTTTTTAACTAATCAACAAAAAGCCATTTACTGACATGAATTTGGGGTGAAAAATCTTTATGGAGTTTTTAAAGAACTGAAAGATTTATTATTGTATTCATTCAGGAAGTACGAAATACTGAACCTTCTCGTTCTACTTAAATATATGTGTTAGATACAGTTGCTATTTTCTTATGATAAAACAAAATGAAAGTAGGATTTCTAAATAAATGGAAATGTTTCCATTTCCTCAAATGCAATTAAAGTTTTAGAAAAACTTGGGACACTTCCCTGCCTTCTCTGCTCCTCTTATTACCCATTACATGAGAACTAATCCATTAATTTTGTTGCTTAAAAAGAAAAAGAAGTTAGAAATAAGTTATTTATATTTTTCTCCCTTTGAATCATTTTCCAAATGCTTAAAATATTATAGTAGACAAGTGTACATGTAAGTAAAATGGAAACCCAGTGGCTAACTGGTAGTTATACTGTAGCAGTGTTGTTCTAGTATGCTCACTCTCCAAGACTCTGCATTAAAAGTTGTCATTTGTCAGTTTTCTTTTGGTCATTTTTTCCCCTCTATTAAAAGAAGCACTTTCAAAAAGAAACATTTGTGATTAGGCAGAAAAGAAGAAATCTTGGTGACATGTTATAATATTTACATAAGAGACATAGCTGGATTAAAAAACTCTTCATCAAAACGAATTTGTTATTTGAAGGCCACCCAGGATAATCAGCAAATTTTAGAGATTTTATTTATTTATTTATTTATTTATTTATTTATTTATTTATTTATTTGACAGAGAGAGACACAGCGAGAGAGGGAACCCAAGCAGGGGGAGTGGGGGAGAGGGAGAAGCAGGCTTCCCGCCGAGCAGGGAGCCCGATGTGGGGCTCAATCCCAGGACCCTGGGATCATGACCTGAGCCGAAGGCAGACGCTTAACGACTGAGCCACCCAGGCGCCAGAAAACGGGGATCCAAAGAAATAGTTCATTAGCTTAATGATAATATCCATAATCATGTTTGATTGAGTTGTAACCTAATATTTCTCAGTAATTTTGTGATAGCCCATTCAAAGCAACCAACCTGTTGCTATTGCATTGTGAAAGCCAGGGTGGATTTCAATCTGAATTTGAGGTACTTTGTAGGGGGGAGGTTCTTGAAAAAGCAACCTAGTCAAACTAGGAAAGCTAGAAAGAGTAAAACATGGTCACAGCCCAGTGAACTGACATTTTGCTGCTGAAAAATAGGTATTTCTCTCATACGTGATATTTGGAAAACTTTAGTCATCTTCCCAAAAGTTTAACATTCATCCAAGCACACACAGCAAGCTTGTCCTTCCTTCCGGCTCCTTACCCTGACCAGGTCAAGACTATGTACCAATCCAGGGCACGGTTTCTACTCATGCTGCTTTCCCATCAGCCTCCTGCTTTCCCTTCTTTGGCCATCCACTTCCCCTGAAGATCTTGCAGAAAGGGGTTTAGCCTGTGGGACCCAACAGGGTTTTTCTGGCTGGTGGGACTCAGATTGTATTCAGAGCCTGGTGGGAAGTTGGGGTCAGGTGTAGGGAGTTATTCATCAACTGCACACTGATTTCAGGCTGAGTTTCCAACCATCTGCAGCCTGGAAAACCGCCCGTCTCTCAAAGTCTAGCTAGAGCCCAGTTGATTGTGCCATCGAAAGAGCAAACACTTGAAACACAAAGGACTAAGGAGTAGGCAGAGGAAGAGAGAGGCTCCTATGGGGCAAAGGATATTCTCAAAGATGTGAATGTACAGATCCTTCAAAAGCAAAACAGAACAACCCCTTAACATACTTCTTGCACATGAAAATGTAGAAAATCTTGCAGAGGGAGGGAATGAGTTTAGAATTTCCTTAGTACTTCCTGCTCAGATTTGCAATGATAGCCAGAGTTGGTAACTTGCCAGTTTTAAAACAGCCTTGAAAACTCCCAAGTTCTGTTTTTCCTTTGAAAGGCTGAAACATACAAAACTGGTTTTCTAAAAATCTTCCAGCAACAGAACTTTTAGGTACAACTCCAACTATTTCTTTTGCTTCAGGGGGGTCATATGATAGCATGAAACCATGACCAATCTTGTTTGTCTCATTTTAGAATGTATGCAATTTTAATTGTCTTTAAATAAGAGAAATATTGTAACAAGGGGACCACTCTCCCTTTCTAGTTGTCTTGTTTGCTTTCCTCCCCGCATTATTTATTATCACTGGGACTGTCTTTTCTATAATACAGTCATTGTTTTCGCAGCACTAAGTTTAGTGCCCACTTAAAAGGAGGAGATATGTAAAAAGTTCATTTTTTTTTTCTCTCCAGAATCATTCCAA